AGAGATTACAGGATAAAGTAATGAGACAGGTTGATGAAATAGAGATTACAGGATAAAGTAATGAACAGTTTGATAAAATAGAGATTACAGGATAAAGTAATGAGCAGTTTGATAAAATAGAGATTACAGGATAAAGTAATGAGCAGTTTGATGAAATAGAGATTACACGATAAAGTAATGAGCAGTTTGATAAAATAGAGATTACAGGATAAAGTAATGAACAGTTTGATAAAATAGAGATTACAGGATAACGTAATGAACAGTTTGACAAAATAGAGATTACAGGATAAAATGTTGAACTATTTGACAAAATAGAGATTACAGGATAAAGTAACGAACAGTTTGATAAAATAGAAATTACAGGATAAAGTAATGAACAGTTTGATAAAATAGAGATTACAGGATAAAGCAATGAACAGTTTGACAAAATAGAGATTACAGGATAAAGTAACGAACAGTTTGATAAAATAGAGATTACAGGATAAAGTAATGAACAGTTTGATAAAATAGAGATTACAGGATAAAGTAATGAGCAGGTTGACAAAATAGAGATTATAGTATAAAGTACCGAACAGTTTGATAAAATAGAGATTACAGGATAAAGCAATGAACAGTTTGATAAAATAGAGATTACAGGGTAAAGTAACGAACAGTTTGACAAAATAGAGATTACAGGATAAAGTAATGAACAGTTTGATAAAATAGAGATTATAGTATAAAGTAATGAGCAGTTTGACAAAATAGAGATTACAGGATTAAGTGAAGAAGGGGTTGTTAAATTAGATCTTACGGTGGAAGGTGATGAACAGGTTGATTGTATAAATAAACGAAAAAAAAATATTTATTCGCAAAGGCATAGACAATTAATTATACTGAAACGTAATAGAACGTATAATGTAAAAGTAAAGAATATAGTGAATTATTAGAGTCGAAAAATTAAAAATTAAATATAATGTGACTTCGTATAGCATAGAAGATGAAATTAAAGAACAGATCAGAGAGAGGCGAAGAGTGACTTAATGTAGCATAAGTTGAAAGCGAAGTATTGTGTGACTTAATGTAGCGTAAGTTGAAAGTGAGGTACAGTGTAAACATAATATGAAAGCCTTGTACAGTTTTGAAAATAGATGTTTAATAAACTTAGACATCATGTACGCTGTAAACAAAAACTATCCACTCACATTTTAATAGACCATTTAATCTACTTCATCAACATTAAATCTTTGTATGTCATCTTATTAAAACAACAGAACATTTACTCAACTACATTGGAATGTCTTTTGGTGGGTCGGAGGGCCCACTTTCGTAACTATAGCTTTCACGTTTTCTTCTGATTAGATTGGTATATGACTTAAGAGCCCATTGTTCTCAGAAATGTGTACTGTGAGAGTTTATTTTTCTCTTCTCCAAGATACTGTGTATTTTGGCTGTACATCGTTACCGATCTTATTCTATGAATATTTCACTTTTAAAGTCTTTTTATATTACCTGAATATATCAAAGTGAGCATTGCAGTGGAATCTGCTTTGAATGAAATAAACAAGTGGTTTGTTTCATTCGCGCAAGTATACTCAAGGACAATCTGCGCTAGCCGTCCCTATCTTTGATATGACAAACTATATTGAAGGCAGCTATTCAACATCACCCACCGCTAACTCTTAGAGCATTCTACTATTTTAGTTCTTAGAGAAAATGAAGCATGAACCTTCGGGTCAACAGTACGTCAACAACATGGCTATTGTGGACCAACACAGCAGATACACATGTCCTCCGAGGACATATATATAAATATAAATAGTGTAATTAGACATTTTTTACCAGGTATAGATATCCCGAACTTGGTCAAAGGAGTTATTTATTCAAACGTGTATCGTGGGAGGAATAAAGCTTGTGAAACATTAATAAGAGCATTTATCACTTGTTTTTGTGGAGTTATTTATTCAAACATGTATCGTGGGAGGAATAAAGCTCGTGAAACATTTATAACAGCATTTATCACTTGTTTTTGTGGAGTTATTTATTCAAACGTGTATCGTGGGAGGAATAAAGCTCGTGAAACATTTATAAGAGCATTTATCACTTGTTTTAGTGGAGTTATTTATTCAAACGTGTATCGCGGGAGGAGTAAAGCTTGTGAAACATTTATAAGAGCATTTATCACTTGTTATAGTGGAGTTATTTATTCAAAAGTGTATCGCGGGAGGAGTAAAGCTCGTGAAACATTTATAAGAGCTTTTATCACTTGTTTTAGTGGAGTTATTTATTCAAACGTGTATCGAGGGAGGAGTAAAGCTTGTGAAACATTTATAACAGCATTTATCACTTGTTTTTGTTTTCGAATTTCACGCAGAAGTACTCGAGGAAAAGCAGCTTGTCAAAAATCAGCACTGATTGGCTATTCTATTCAAATAGTGGTATTGACCGTCACATCATAACGCTCTAATGGCCGAAAGAGTAAGCATGTTCTTTGAAGGGATTCGAACCGGCAACCCACAGATTGCTGGAATAGTATCATAACCACCAGGCCATACAAGTTGTAATATTGCACTGATGGTTAAACCATTCTTATTAAAACAGTGTTAATGTTTACCAAGAAATCAAAATAATCAAGTTATTACAGCTTGGCAATCTGAGGGTCGCGGGTTCGAATCCCCATCGCACCAAACATGTTCGCCCTTTCAGCCGTAAGAGCGATATAATACGACGTTGATAAAAGAGTAGCCCAACAGTTAGCGGTGGGTGGTGATGACTAATTGTCTTTCCTCTAATGTTTTACTGTTAGATTAGGGAAGGCTAGCGCAGATAGCCCTCGTGTAGCTTTGGGCGAAATTCCAAACAGACAGACAATTCTTACAGCTTCCTCTAGTAACGAGATAAGAAAATTTTACACGTGTATGTAATTTTTATACATTGATATCAGGATGTTTATGTATTTAGGTGTATTGTATCCAGGTAAATAGTAATATGTTTTACATATGTATAAAGTAACAGTTCTAAAAACAACTGTGTGAGCAACATACAATATTTTACTTATGTATAAAGTAACAGTTCTAAAAACAACTGTGTGAACAACGTACAATGTTTTACTTATGTATAAAGTAACAGTTCTAAAAACAACTGTGTGAACAACGTACAATGTTTTACTTATGTATAAATTAACAGTTCTAAAGCCCACTATGTCAATAACGTACAATGTTTTACTTATGTATAAAGTAACAGTTCTGAAACCCACTATGGCAACAACGTACAGTGGTTTACTTATGTATAAAGTAACAGTTCTGAAGCCCACTATGTCAACAACGTACAATGTTTTACTTATGTATAAAGTAACAGTTCTAAAGCCCACTATGTCAACAACGTACAATGTTTTATTTATGTATAAAGTAACAGTTCTAAAGCCCACTATGTCAACAACGTACAATGTTTTACTTATGTATAAAGTAACAGTTCTAAAGCCCACTATGTCAACAACGTACAATGTTTTACTTATGTACAAAGTAACAGTTCTAAAGCCCACTATGTCAACAACGTACAATGTTTTACTTATGTACAGAGTAACAGTTCTAAAGCCCACTATGTCGACACCGTAGAGTGTTTTACTTATGTATAAAGTAACAGTTCTAAAGCCCACTATGTCAACAACGTACAATGTTTTACTTATGTACAAAGTAACAGTTCTAAAGCCCACTATGTCAACAACGTACAATGTTTTACTTATGTACAGAGTAACAGTTCTAAAGCCCACTATGTCGACAACGTACAGTGTTTTACTTCTGTATAAAGTAACAGTTCTAAAGCCCACTATGTCAACAACGTACAATGGTTTACTTATGTACAAAGTAACAGTTCTAAAGCCCACTATGTCGACAACGTACAATGTTTTACATATGTATAAATAACAGTTCTAAAGCCCACTATGTCAACAACGTACAATGGTTTACTTATGTATAAAGTAACAGTTCTAAAGCCCACTATGTCAACAACGTACAATGGTTTACTTATGTATAAAGTAACAGTTCTAAAGCCCACTATGTCAACAACGTACAATGGTTTACTTATGTATTTAGTAAAAGTTTTAAGGTATATTATGTGAAGAACATACTAAGATGCTTACTTAGTAGTGGTAGATTTAAACTAGGGCTAGACAGAGGGGAGAGCTATGATACTAGTAAAATAGGAAATATATTTGACAGGAAAACATATACAACTGGTATAAAACATGAACATAATTTAAAATCTATGATTAATTGTTACTACTGTAATGCTAGGAGTATTAGAAATAAAACTGATGAGTTCAAAGCAGTTGTGGAAACTGAGGATTTTGATATCATGGGTATCACTGAGAATTGGTTGGTTCTGAACAATTTTGATTAAAAATAATGTTTTTTAAATACCAGGCTACAGATTATTTACTAGAGATAGAGTATTGAAAAAAAAGGGGAGGAGTAGCTTTATATGTGAGGAGTGAATTGTATCCTGTTGAGTTAGATAGATGTCCTTATTCTTTACAATTGTTGAAGAAGATTTGTTTCTTATCTATTCAAAAATACTTATTTTATACATGTCCTTATTCTTTACAATTGTTGAGAAAGATGTGTTTCTTATCTATTCAACAATACTTATTTTATACATGTCCTTATTCTTTACAATTGTTGAGGAAGATTTGTTTCTTATCTATTCAACAATACTTATTTTATACATGTCCTTATTCTTAACAATTGTTGAGGAAGATTTGTTTCTTATCTATTCAACAATACTTATTTTATACATGTCCTTATTCTTTACAATTGTTGAGGAAGATTTGTTTCTTATCTATTCAACAATACTTATTTTATACATGTCCTTATTCTTAACAATTGTTGAGGAAGATTTGTTTCTTATCTATTCAACAATACTTATTTTATACATGTCCTTTTTGTTTATAATTTTGCTTTTAAACACGAAGTTACAGAATGAGCTATCAGTGCTCTGCCCACAAGGATATCGAAACCCAGTTTTTATCGTTATAACCCTTGTGACTTACAGCTGAGTCACTTAGTTAGCTGTTTGAAACAAAGTTTTAAATACTGTCAAGAAATATTTTTCTCTTGTTTATTTGAAACGTATATTCTAATATACATAGGTCCACTTCTTAGCGTTAACAGATGTAAAGTAACATGATAATCGTGAAATTAGAGACGAGTTTTATCATATATAAAATGCTATGAAAACAGTCGTAGCCTTTGTTTTCAGAATTAAAATTTGTATTATTTTCAGAAACATACTAGCTACGGTGGGATAGTAATGCAGTCTCAGAACATGCCCTATTTTATAAAATATAACATAATATTCGAAATGTATCTAATTACACTGCGCACCCTGGTGAACAAAGGTAACTTCATTCGTCCTTAGTTCATACACCAGTGAAATAAATAGTATATATTTCGGCAGATAAATGAAGCTTCAATGTGCTCTATGTTAAAATACAGTTAAAAGTATATAAGATAGTTATACATATGTTGCACCTATTTCACATAGAATGAAAACTACGGAGGCTAAATGCGGTGATGTTGAAAAATATTTTCCTGAAAATATAAGTTATTTTAATTCAATTACAATTTTTGCAGTAAAATAGGTATTCTGAATTTATTGCGATTATTATTTGTCGAAAAACAGTACTTATCTTCCGTTTGCTTGTTTAACATTACAAATAAAAAGTGTATTTTTTTCAAGACACAACATCCTAACTCTAAACAAAGAGGAAAGTAATTTTCAGAATATTCTAAAACCAGACAGGTTTTCTAATAAACATTGTTTTGATAACAGCCAATCGTTTTATACGAACCTAATTTACGTCTGTCCAAAAACTAACTTTTGCTTACAACTTATAATGATTACAATACTGAAATTATACTCTGAAAATGTCCCTCACTTAAAGTATTACCAGGCCTAACGTGTTAACAATCAGGTGTCGTTGTAGTACTGTTCATTTTATAAACACAATCTATTTTGACTTCTGCCAGGTCGTTTTATTATGTATGATTAAAACATCTGATTTTATAACTTCTGTTTTAATCTTCTTGACGGTAAAAGGAAAAGCTTTAGTACGTTCCTTTTAATTTGCGTGTGAGCAGAAGTCATGGTTATAATATGTTCATATTTAATATAGAGAGTGTTGACGAAAGTTGTGTTCGGGTTGTCTACCGTTCCTATTGGAAGTAGTATTTGTGTTACAATCAATTTGTAGAGAAAGTAGTGTTTGTGTTATCAACAGTTTGTAGAAGTAGTGTTTGTCTCACCAGCAGTTTGTGTTGGAAGTAGTATTTGTGTTATCAACAGTTTGTAGTGGAACTAGTGTTCGTGTTATCTATGGTTTGTAGTGAAATTAGTGTTTGTGTTACCTATTGTTTGTAGTGGAAGTACTGTTTGTGTTATCAACAGTTTGTAGTGAAATTAGTGTTTATGTTACCTATGGTTTGTTGTGGAAGTACTGTTTGTGTTATCAACAGTTTGTAGTGGAATTAGTGTTCTGTGTTATCTATGGTTTGTAGTGAATTAGTGTTTGTGTTATCTATGGTTTGTAGTGAAATTAGTGTTTGTGTTACCAAAAGTTTGTAGTGGAATTAGTGTTTGTGTTATCTATGGTTTGTAGTGATATTAGTGTTTGTGTTACCTATGGTTTGTGGTGGAAGTACTGTTTGTGTTATCAACAGTTTGTAGTGGAACTAGTGTTTGTGTTATCTGTGGTTTGTGGTGGAAGTACTTTTTGTGTTATCAACAGTTTGTAGTGGAATTAGTGTTTGTGTTATCTGTGGTTTGTAGTGAAATTAGTGTTTGTGCTATATATGGTTTGTAGTAGTATTTATGTTTCGATTATCTATAATTTGTACTAAACTTCGTGCCTATGTTACATAAAGAGTTTGTAAGAAGCAGTGTCTGCCTTACTTACAGATTAAATTACAACTTGTATCTGTCTCATCTGTGGTTTTCCAAGAAGTAGTGTCTTCCTTACAGATTACACTACAACTTGTATCTGTCTTATCTGTGGTTTTCCTAGAAGTAGCGTTTGCCTTACAGATTACATTACAACTTGTATCTGTCTTATCTGTGGTTTTTCCTACAAGTAGTGTCTGCCTTACAGATTACACTACAACTTGTATCTGTCTTATCTTTGGATTTTCCTAGAAACAGTGTCTGTCTTACTTACAACTTGTTTCTGTCTTATCTGTGGTTTCTCCTGGAAGTAGTGACTGCCTTACTTACAGTTTACACTTCAACTTGTATCCATTTTATCTGTGGTTTCTCCTGGAAGTAGTGACTGCCTTACTTACAGTTTACACTTCAACTTGTATCCATTTTATCTGTGGTTTCTTCTAGAAACAGTGTCTGTCTTACTTGCAGTTTACACTACAACTTGTATCCATCTTATCTGTGGTTTCTCCAAGAAATAGTGTCTGTCTTACTTACAGTTTACACTACAACTTGTATCCATTTTATCTGTGGTTTCTCCAAGAAGTAGTGTCTGTCTTACTTACGTTTACACTACAACTTGTATCCATCTTATCTGTGGTTTCTCCAAGAAGTAGTGTCTGCCTTACTTACAGTTTACACTACAACTTGTATCCATCTTATATGTGGTTTCTTCTAGAAGTAGTGTCTGCCTTACTTAAGTTTACACTACAACTTGTATCCATCTTATCTGTGGTTTCTCCTAGAAGTAGTGTCTGCCTTACTTACAGTTTATGCCACAACGTGTATCCATCTTATCTGTGGTTTCTCCCTGGAACTCTACCTGTTTTATCTACATTTTATTCTGACAGCCAAGTTCTTGTGATTTGGAAGTTGGTTAATGAATATGAGTTGAAATGATAAATTAAAACTGGTAGATTTCGACAACACATTTAAACTAGTGATGATACATTAAATCCAAAGTTTCTAGCCAGTTTCATTATCAGTACAGTTTGTAAGGATTTGACTTCGCTAGTGTACAAATGTCAGTGAAGTTATGATGACTGTTGATTTATTTTAAATAAAACATATGTGTTTCTTGTTACAGAACAACGGAAATTTTGCTTATTCTCTCCACACTGATAATCACCGCGGAATTGCTTATTTCCGAAGAGGACCGACAGCTGGCGCTACGTTAAGCAGTGCTCCTCACCCTGCTGCACTGATTTCAAGACCCTATAACAATCCTCCAGATGCTGCAGCTTTACCTCCATCTGGTGGCCATATTCCTGTTAATGTTCGGGCCCCATTAAAAAATGTGCCGCTTGCATTCGCAGCTACCAATATACGTACAGACACCGTTCCCGTGTATCCTCCCGCCAACAGAGACCTGCTTTATTCACAGGGCTACATTTATTTTAAAGATTTCTTACCAGTACAAGTTCCATTTTAAGGAGGTATTGAAATATGGTTTCAAGTTAATATTATACATTTCTTAAAAGAAAATAGAAAAAAGAGCTCCAACTACGAAACGATCTACGAGTGATTTGGGAGTGTGAACGTTCAGACTAACCCCAGCTAACTGAAGCTGACCAATTGAAAACAATGTATCTAAAGGGTTATATTTAGATTATGCACTACTAACGAGAACTGATCACTTAATTAAAAAAATTATTCAAACATTTATTTTGAGATTATCAATAACTAGTGAAAACCGACCAATTGAAAACAATATATCTTTACAATATAAGTTTAACATAACAGCAAATGTACAAAGGTACCTGATGATGACAAAACATTGTCGAAACGTTGTACATTTGATGTTATGTTAAACTTATATTAAAGTTTTTCTTCATTACCCATTCAAGCCGTCTCCAACCATTATTAGTCTCAAAGTGGGTTCCTCGTCATCGAATATTTCTTTACGTTTATAATCAGATTATCTACAACTAATGGTTGTGGATAACAGATGAAAACAAAATATTTTTTTTTAATAAGACCTATTAAAGTCGTTACAGTAAACATGATGATTAAATTCGTTACAGTAAACATGATAATTAAAGTCGTTACAGTAAAAATTACAATTAAAGTCGTTACAGTAAACATGATAATGTAAGCCGTTACAGTAAACATGATAATTAAAGTCGCTACAGTAAACATTATAATTAACGTCGTTACAGTAAACATGATAATTTAAGTAGTTACAGTAAACATGATAATTATTCATTTTTTCTGAGACTAATCTCCTTGTGTAACACTTAAAACTACTGCAAGAATACGATATTTTAAAACATTTTCTGAATGTTTTGTTTTCTTTTTCCCCATTGTTTTCGTGATTACATAAACTTTACTTTAAAATCGCAGGTAAAACAAAATGATGCTGTTTCTAGAAACGGGTTAACATCAGAGGAGAGTCCTATACGTTAAACGGGTTAACATCAGAGGAGAGTCCTATACGTTACAGAGTCTTATGAATAAGATTTAAAAATCTTACAAATAAGAAAACTTATTAAGATAAGTTAAATGTTATGTTGAAATAACTTGATGTTTAAAGTCATTTCAACGAAACCATGGAAACATCAGAGGCAACGTGAATGAATAAAAACATATTTAACATGTATCGTTCGTAGTTCGTTACTCCGAATTTATAAAAACCTAAACTCAAAACTCATACTACAGAAGATAATATATACAGGTGGGATTTCCATAGTGCTTTATCGTGTATGGTAAAAGTGCTTTAACATTTATTTTTGCTCTACAATAAAAAATATTCGGTTTCTGTTTTAGTACCTTCAAGTAAGACTTTCTTAACGTCTTCGTACTTCTTATCATTTAAACTTCAATCATTTTATTTTATATATATATACAAACTGGTATCGTAACAACGGCTGAAACCGAGCACAACATCTACACAAAGCAACAAGAAATGTAAGATGAAACTGAAACCGAACGTCGAATCGTCCTTGTACCACGAAACGTCCACAACTTACGGACCTACCTGTATACGATGCGCAGTAGCCTGACTGCTTCTTGTTACAGTTTGAACAAAGTCAAGCACCTGTCTAAGCTGAAAATGTGTCCACTAAATCTTAGAACACTGTAGTTTGACTCGGTGGCAGTTTCTTTTCTACACAATATTCTGTTACAATATCTAATAATAGAAGCGTTTATTACTTCGTTAATTAAAATATCTAATTAGGTAGCATTTTAGTTTGTATTTTTATTTTAGTTTAATTTTTATTCTGAGATAACTTTAAATATTATGAAATAAACTAACGGTAAATCCGATTGAATCGTTTCGGAATCAGAAAGTTGTGGGTTTTGTGATTTTAGACAAAATAATATAATAGGCTATCTACGATTTGTTCACCAAGAGGAATCGAACCGCAGATTTTGTCTCAAGTCTTTAAAACTTACCGCTGGCCTACAAGAGGACGGAATCAAAAAGAGTAACAAGATAATTCTAGAAAATAATAAATAATAATACATGGTGTTAGAATTAAAAATACATGGTGTTAGAATTAAAAATACATGGTGTTAGAATAAATAATACATGGTGTTAGAATTAAAAATACATGGTGTTAGAATTAATAATACATGGTGTTAGAATAAATAATACATGGTGTTAGAATTAATAAAACATGGTGTTAGAATAAATAATACATGGTGTTAGAATTATATAATGATACATGGTGTTAGAATTAATAATACATGGTGTTAGAATTAAAAATACATGGTGTTAGAATAAATAATACATGGTGTTAGAATAAATAATACATGGTGTTAGAATAAATAATACATGGTGTTAGAATTATATAATGATACATGGTGTTAGAATTAAAAATACATGGTGTTAGAATTAATAATACATGGTGTTAGAATAAATAATACATGGTGTTAGAATTAATAATACATGGTGTTAGAATAAATAATACATGGTGTTAGAATTAATAAAACATGGTGTTAGAAATAATAATACATTGTGTTAGAATAAATAATACATGGTGTTAGAATTAATAATACATGGTGTTAGAATTAATAACACATGGTGTTAGAATTATATAATAATACATGGTGTTAGAATTAATAATACATAATGTTAGAATTAATAATACATGGTGTTAGAATTAATAATACATGGTGTTAGAATAAATAATACATGGTGTTAGAATAAATCCCTACCCTAAACAATTACCCTTCAAAAAGGTGTAGCGTTTCAGCTACTGTTGTGTCTGCAGTATCCAAGCCGGGCTGCAGTTTTGGTGTTGTACGAAAGGACTCGTCGGCACTGGACGTGATGTGGTTGATATATTATTACACACTTTTCTTTAGTTTCACTCAGAAGCTCTTAATAACAACATACTGACTACTTTACTCGAACCACATCTAATATCTGGTTGGACCAGATGATACCCTGGACCCAAGATTGAATTTAAAACCTTATGTGGTCATGAGATAAATGGTCAGAGCAGAGACCCCTAATTCCATGTATAACCGTCACCAGATTTAACCAACTGGCCGCTAAAAGAACTTTATTCGGCTCTTTAAACCGAATACCAGATTTGATTTTTACTTCTATAACACACCCAAAGCCAAAAGTACGATATTAAGTTACTCATGTTGTTTGCTTCTAGAAACTGTAGTATAAGCTATGAAATTTATATAATTCTTTGGGTGTTATTCGCTTTAAGTTTAATATGAACAATTGGTATCTTATTTTCTTTTATCATTATTACTTAGGATGTTGTTTTCTGTTAGTATTATTACTTAGGGTCTCGTTTTCTGTTATCATTATTACTTAGGGTCTCGTTTTCTGTTAGTATTATTACTTAGGGTGTTGTTTTCTGTTATCATTATTACTTAGGGTCTCGTTTTCTGTTAGTATTATTACTTAGGGTGTTGTTTTCTGTTAGTATTATTACTTAGGGTCTCGTTTTCTGTTAGTATTATTACTTAGGGTCTCGTTTTCTGTTATCATTATTACTTAGGGTCTCGTTTTCTGTTATCATTATTATTTATGATCTCGTTTTCTGTTAGTATTATTACTTAGGGCCTCATTTTCTGTTAGTATTATTACTTAAGGTTTCGTTTTCTGTTAGTATGAATAATTAGGGTCTTGTTTTCTGTTAGTATAAATAAGTAGGGTCTTGTTTTCTGTTAGTATGAATACTTAAGGTCTTGTTTTCTGTTAGTATGAATACTTAAGGTTTCGTTTTCTGTTAGTATAAATACTTAAGGTTTCGTTTTCTGTTAGTATAAATAAGTAGGGTCTTGTTTTCTGTTAGTATGAATACTTAAGGTTTTGTTTTCTGTTAGTATAAATACTTAAGGTTTCGTTTTCTGTTAGTATAAATAATTAGGGTCTTGTTTTCTGTTAGTATGAATACTTAAGGTTTTGTTTTCTGTTAGTATAAATACTTAAGGTTTCGTTTTCTGTTAGTATAAATAATTAGGGTCTTGTTTTCTGTTAGTATGAATACTTAAGGTTTTGTTTTCTGTTAAAGTATTTACTTAGTGGCTTTTATTTTTGATGTACTTGAGATTTACGGTTTCGTTACTAAAGACTTTGTTTATATAAAACTTAATATTTCACAAGGCATTTTATGATAGAAAGACACTTCTAACCTTACATACACCTTTCTATAAAGTTATGTATATTCAAAACGAACAAGACGCCCTCTAGGAATAGATTAACTCTTTGTTCCGATTATAAACGCATTAGACGCTGCCCCCGGACATACTAGCGTTCCTCATGTTTCAGATAGTCAGATAACATAGTGGAGAACTAAAACTAGTGTTCCTAATTACTAGCGTTCCTCATGTTTCAGATAATCAGATAACATAGTGGAGAACTAGAACTAGTGTTCCTATTTTTCTCTGGGGTCAACGTTCACGAGAAGTCGAAAGCAAAAAAGTGAACTAGTGATAAAAATAAGAAACAAGGGTTCAAAAGTAGGTAATGCTGAAATGTACCTGTTTAGTGAAAAGCACGCAACACTTCTTAATTCCTACACAATTAGCACAAGCAGTCACTCTGATGAGACGTGAATATCGAGTCAGAGGTCAGGCTTCTAACTTCTGTGTCCTATTAATATCAGGTGCAATAGAAATTAATTAATAATTGTATCATTTACAAGTACATCAGCTAATAGTTGTATCGATTATAGAGTTACATCAACTATTAGTTGTATCATTCATAGTTACATCAACTAATATTTGCATGATTTATACAGTTACATCAACTAATATTTGCATGATTTATACAGTTACATCAATTAATAGTTGCATCATTTATACAGTTACATTGACAAACAGTTGTATCATTTATACAGTTACATCAACCAATAGTTGTATCATTTATAGTTACATCAACCAATAGTTGTATCATTTATACAGTTACACCAACCAATGCTTGTATCATTTATACAGTTACATCAACTAACAATTGTATCATTTATATAGTTACGTCAACTAATAGTTGTATCATTTATAGTTACATCAACAAATAGTTGCATCATTTATACAGTTACGTCAACTAATAGTTGTATCATTTATAGTTACATCAACCAATAGTTGTATCATTTATACAGATACACCAACCAATGCTCGTATCATTTATACACTTACATCAACTAACAGTTGTATCATTTATACAGTTACGTCAACTAATAGTTGTATCATTTATACAGTTACATCAACTAACAATTGTATCATTTATATAGTTACGTCAACTAATAGTTGTATCATTTATACAGTTACGTTAATAGTTGTATCATTTATACAGTTACACCAACCAATGCTTGTATCATTTATACAGTTACATTAACAGTTGTATCATTTATACAGTTACGTCAACTAATAGTTGCATCATTTATACAGTTACACCAACTAATAGTTGTATCATTTATACAATTACGTCAACTAACAGTTGTATCATTTATACACTTACATCAACTAACAGTTGTATCATTTATACAGTTACATCAACTAATAGTTGCATCATTTATACAGTTACATCAACTAACAGTTGCATCATTTATACAGTTACATCAACTAATAGTTGTATCATTTATACAGTTACATCAACTAAAAGTTGTATCATTTATACAGTTACATCAACTAATAGTTGTATCATGTATAGTTACATCAACCAATAGTTGTATCATTTATAGTTACATCAACCAATAGTTGTATCATTTATACAGTTACACCAACCAATGCTTGTATCATTTATACACTTACATCAACTAACAGTTGTATCATTTATACAGTTACGTCAATTAACAGTTGTATCAATTTTACAGTTACATCAACTAATAGTTGCATCATTTATACAGTTACATCAACTAATAGTTGTATCATTTATATCGTTACATCAACTAATAGTTGCATCATTTATACAGTTACATCAACTTATAGTTTTATCATTTATAGTTACATCAACTAATAGTTGTATCACTTATACAGTTACATCAACTAATAGTTGCATCATTTATACAGTTACATCAACTAATAGTTGTATCA